GGCAGTTTCACAGAAGGAGAGGCAGAGAGAAAGATCTTTCATCTGCTGGTTCACTCCTCAAATGGCCACTACAGCTGGAGCTGAGCTGATCCAAAGTCAAGAACCAGAAGCTCTTCCGGGTCTCCCACACAAGTGCAGGGTCCCAAGGCTTTGGGCTACCCTTCTCTGCTTTCCTACACCTTAAGCAGAGAGCTGGAAGGGTAGTGGAGCAGCCAGTACACAAATCATCACTCAGTGAGGTGCAGGTACTTGTATATTATATATACAAGTAAATTATAATCCATTTATTTTAGAATGAACACACATATATAAAGACGCACGCTGACTTAAAGACTACTGGAGTATTAGGATACCTTAGAAGGCAGCAGGGATTCCTTCTTAAATCATTGTCACTGGCTCCATTCTCTCTCCTTCCTTTAGAAGGAAAATGATCTACCATGTGTTGCTCAAGGGGAACAGTGAGGAGAGTTGGCCAGGGAGCTGAAAGCTTCCATGAGCACAGCTTTGATGAAACAACTCTTCACATTTCCAAAAGTCTGTTTAAGATTACTCCTACACTCATACATCCCGGATGGCTTGGGGATACTTTTACATGAGTTCACCTGTTTTTGCATTTGGGGATGGACAGTTGTCATAAGAAAATAGAGGCTGGGAAGGCAGTTGGGGCAACAGAGCATTACAACACAGCATGTTATATTTTGACATTTAGTGTCTGTAATAGCAGCTAAATGACATTGTTTCATAATCTTGAGTGGTAGATGGGTAGCTGTGTGATTCAAACTATTTTTTCAAGTGGTATTAACTGGCCATTATGTAACAAAATCATGTATTCCAACAATGGGTTACCTACTCTGCAAACAGGAGAATATGTTTTCACCATTATGTTCTCAGAAGAGACATGTTCTGGTACTAGAGTTTTTAAAGATCTATTGTAGTTATTGCAATCACTTATTCTGGGCCTGTTAAATCCTAATTCTAAAAGGAATGGTATCCATAGTTAAAAAATATTTTAAATTATTATTTACTTCAGAAGCTAAGACACTGAGTTCCCATTACTGGTTCCTTCTCCAAATGCAGCAGTGCCAGGGCCTGCCTGAAAGCCTAGCACATAAGCCAGGCCTTCCAGATGAGTAGCAGGGACCCAAGTACTTGTCCATCACCACTGCCTCCTGGTCTAGTCTGCGATAGCAGGAATGTGGAGTCAGCAGACAGAGCTAGGAATCAAATCCCAGTACTCCAGTATGGGGCATGTTAACTGCCAGTGCTTCTGGTAGCTGCACTTTTTAAGATTTACTTATTTTTGTTGGAAAGAGATTTACAGAGAGAAGGAGAGCCGCAGAGAAAGATTTTCCATCCACTGGTTCACTCCCCAGATGGTCACAATGGCTGTAGCTGAGCCAATCTGAAGCCAGGAGCTTCTTCCAGGTCTCCCACACAGGTGCATGGTCCCAAGGCCTTGGGCTGTTCTCAACTGCTTTTCCAGGCCATAAGCAGGAGCTGGATGGGAAGTGGAGCACCCAAGACACGGACCAGTGCCCACATGGGATCCTAGTGGATGCAAGGTGAGGATTTAGCCACTAGATGATTGCAGCGAGCCTGGAGCTGCACTTTTTCAAGAAAATTATTTTTACTGGAAAGTCAGATATACAGAGAGAAGAAGAGACAGAGAGGAAGATCTTCGGTGTGTGGATTCACTCCCCACGTAGTCACAATGGCTGGAGCTGTGCTGATCCAAAGGCAGGAGCCAGGAGCCTCCTCTGAATCTCCCATGCAATTATAGGATCCCACAGCTTTGGGCTGTCCTCAAATATTTTCCCAGGCCACACGCAGGGAGCTGGCTGGAAGCAAGGTTGTGGGACACAAACTGGTGCCCATATGTGATCCTGGCACATGCAAGGTGAGGATTTTAGCTACTATGCTACCATGCTGGGACCCATAGCTGCTCTTTTAAGAAAGTAAAATTGAACCTTTGGATGTTGTAGTTACAATGTGTATGTCTAACTGTGAAGCATTATTTGAAACTGCAAAACCATTCTATTACGAAAAACTAATAAAGTTCTGGAAGAAATCCACTCCTCCCACCAACCCCCCAATTAAGCTCAGGTGCCTGGACAATGTCTATAGGACTGGAAGGCCCCTGTGCCTGTTTTAGAATGGCTTAGCCTGCAACAGACTGGCCCTTTAGCCTCATTTGCTGCGGCCCTTTCTAAAAAAAAAATGTTTCAACTTGGTAAAACTCTGTTCTACAAGAAGGTGGTCATGCTTCTTCCATGCAGTAAGCAGCAGATTACAAGAGCGCATCCCACTACAAGTCTTTTGGATCAGAATTACAAGTGCATTTGTGGGAATTTTTCATTACTTTCTAGTTTGTAAAGGTCCATGTAAGTAGTCATATTTGCCCGAGCATTTTAATGAATAAGATAAACATTTTGAAGAGTTTTGAAGTTATTTTACAAAGACAGTCTTCAAGGCCTAAGGCCTAACCCACCATGGTATGAAGATAGGGGGGCTGTGTATTATACAAAACAAACAAAAGGGTATATACTTCTTCTCTGGAAAAGAATATATTTAGACTCTGAGCTGGTTTCTACTGAAAATCATAAATTCATAGGCATATTAATGAATCACTATCTTTTTAAATATCCTTAATTTATGCCCAGTCATGATAAGAATTACAGAATATCACAAGAGACCTCCTTAAGAATTTAAAATTGGCAAGCCTTTAAAAGGGCTTAACATTTCATGTGGAGGGAGAAAAAGACAATCAAGTAACTCTGATTGGGCCTTCTATTGTGATCACCCAGACCCACAGGGCACAGCCCCAGCAGGTGCACCTCATGCAGACTCCCCACCTCTATGTCACAAGATCCGGGCCAGAGCTGGGGAGTCCACCCTCGTGATCTCAAGTCTGGTGCTATATGAGAGTCCTTCAGGGATCAATGGGATTTTCTCTTTCATCTCAGTTCTCTTTTAGACAAAGGCAGGGTCCTCAAATGCATGCAGAGCATCTTCTTTGAGTTCCCAGCTCTGCAAAGCAGTTGTCAGAGAGCCAGGGAGATGCTCTCATGCGACACGAGGTGCCGTTTGACAACATTGCCTTAGTGCTGCACAACTGGGTCAGGAAATGTGTATGGTCTCAGTGGTCACAGCCATGCTCAAAAGCTAGGAGAGCCTAAAACTAAGTTGTGTTGTGTTTCATTTTTGAGAATTGGCATTTTATAACTCATTTAGCGGACTTCCATTATGTTTTGTCTTTGTCTCTGCGCTCATGAGCTCGCCTCACAATACCAGCAGCAGTACGTTAAATTTTCAGAAATGATCTCAGATTTAGTAAAATGAAACAAGCAAGTAGTTTCACCGCATTTGAGCCATTCAGTGACAAGCTACTGAACTGCACCGTTCTTTTATGATGAAGTACATGTCTTTTTGAGTAGTTTCTTTACAGATGTCTAAATGTAAGAAGGATCCCCAGGGGAACTAGATAAAAAACATGGTGCTTTGAGCTTCAGTTCACGGTCCAGGCACTGGGGCACAGACTTCTATCACTGATGCACCTCAGTGAGCAAGGACTGTCCATTGAGAAGAGTGGTCACATCTTTGTTTTCTGTAATTTCCCCTTTCTTTTGTTCTTAATAGAAAAGTGCCTCAAGGCAAGAAGGGAGTTACCCCAAGATGGCACAGCAACAAAATTGGCCTCCAGGTGGAGCTGGAAAGCAGGCTAGGGAAGGAGGGCACGTGTCAGGACCGTGACAGGGTGCATGTTCCAGGAACCTTCCTTTGTAGGACTGTCAGCTTGTTCTAAGGTCTTCTTAGGTGGCTCACTGGGCCATTTTCACATGTGTCTTTTTGCACCCACTCCTGTAAGCTTTATATTCCATTTGTAGGTATTTTAGTAAGTCATCACTGTTTAAGTCCACAATCAAGGAATGGGCTGGAGTGCAACAGCACTTCGATAACTATGACTATGAGCAGCCATTCTGTTCTGCTACAGAGCTTCACTCCAAACATCTACCTGCTTCTTCAGGCGCCCTGCACTGTCCTGAGGCAGGCTAAATTTGAAGGAGCTAGGCTTTTATTTCCTCGTCAGTTCCAAGGTTTCATCTAAGGCGATACTGTTTTTCTTTTCTTTTGCAAAGCTTTCTTTTTCTTTTTTTAAAAGATTTATTTATTTATTTATTGGAAAGTCAGATATACAGAGAGGAGGAGAGACAGAGAGGAAGATCTTCCATCCGATGATTCACTCCCCAGGTGAGTGCAATGGCCAATGCTATGCTGATCCGAAGCCAGGATCCAGGAACTTCTTCCAGGTCTCCCACACGGGTGCAGGGTCCCAAAGCCTTGGGCTGTCCTCAACTGCTTTCCCAGGCCACAAGCAGGGAGCTGGATGGGAAGTGGAGCTGCCGGGACTAGAACCGGCGTCCATATGGGATCTCGGCGTGTTCAAGGTGAGGACTTTAGCCGCTAGGCCACACCACCGGGCCCGCAAAGCTTTCTTAAATCTTCTGTAGTTCCACTCCTGAAAATGGAACTGCTACATTTTCAATCAAACTCTAATCTGTAAGGCCTGCTAAAACATTTGCCCTCAATTAAAAAGATATTCTTTCTTTCCCTGTTAAATCATAATAAATACATACATGCACAATGTAAAGGGAAATGCTGGCATAAAAATATCAGCATCTGTAGATCTAGAGGCAGGTGTTGGGCCCAGTGGGTTAAGCTGCTGTTTGGAATGCTAACATCCCATATGGCAATGCCAGTTTTGAGTCCAGGCGACTCTGTTTCTGATCCAGCTTCTGGCTAATGTGTCCTGAGAGGCAGCAGATGATGAGTCAATCACTCAGGGCCCCTGCTACCCATGTGGGAGATCCAGATGGAGTCTCAGGCCATTGCTATTGCCAGAATTTGGGTTAGTGAACCAAGAGATGGGAGTACTGTTGCTCTGCCTTCAAAGTGGATGAAAACAAATACATATTAAAAAAGAGTCTAGAGATCCAAGCAGATTTTAACATAGACTTTTTTATTAAATATGTAAAAAGATCAACGCAAGTCAAGTTATTCACATGTTCAGACAAAAAACTCTTCTACCATGCGACAATAGGTGGGCAATGTAAATGAATGAGATACATCTGAGTAAGATTCTTCTTCTATTAGCTCATGACTTATCTCTATTTATAATTAACAGTACATATGTTTACATTCCTTTCAGTTTACATTTTATATATAACAAAAGCTTTATGGTGTACTATTGAATTAAAGTAATCTGAATGCACATTAAACCTTAACGGAATAACGGGAATACTCACCAGGGAAGGGAGGAGTTCTTGGTTCCCTTCTGAAGTTGACTTCTCTCGGGTCAACAGGGTTTGTCTTTGTTTTTCCTGCTTTTCTGCTTAGAACGAACAGGGGCTTTCACTTTGCCCCCTGCCTCGATCACTTCCAGTCTGACCATGGCAGTGGAAGTGCTATAAGCAGCCATCTGTGGCGTGAGGGACACTAGGAATGAAATCTGGCTTCCTGAGAGGGCAGAATGGTGCACACACCCAGGGACACTCATCAGCCTGGCCTGAGGCTAGCTCCGAGAATGAGTGTCCCTGTGAGCAGAGGCCGAGAGCAGCCCATGGGGACTGTCTCCGAACCTTGGCTGGTCAAGGCTCTCCACAGCATCTGATGTCATCTAGGGTGCAGCACAAGGGAAGAGGTTGGCGATGGGCATAGGAAGAGGCATTTATAGCTCTTCTCCACGTAAATGGTCTCCCCCAATCCCTCAGTAACAAGAGTGGAATACAGTGGTTGGAGGTACGTTTCCTGTAGGCTAAGCTCTGCAACCACTGTGGTCATTGCTGAGAAGGTTGGGGAACTGGAGAGCAGTGGGAGGCTTATGCATGTTATCCAGGGTGAAGTGATGGGCCCGGCAGCGTGGCCTAGTGGCTAACGTCCAGGGTGAAGTGATTTCTAAAGAAGACTATCTGCTACTCATTCATGTGCTTCCGCATCACAGGAATCTTGGTCCACCCACCTGGGGAAGACTGAGCCATCCAGAACAGGAAAAGAATGGTCTAGAAACCACTGAAGTTGTAATCTGCATGGAATTATTTATTGTGCCTCTTTGCAAGAGCTGGTTTTTTAAAAGGAAAATGAGTACAACACACCATTAAGCACAATGCTGTGTATAGCACAGCCACTACCTGGAAGCAGGCGTGGGAGGATGTCACTGCCGAGAGTCAGGCTTTACAGCCCTGGAGAAATGAGCTGCCACTGTCGTGCAGAGTGAGCAGGAGAGAGAAGAAAGGGAAACCAAACACCACAGAACATCTGTCCGGTTCTGCACAGTGTGCTGCAACAACCTCAAAAATACAAGCCATCTTTTTCCACGTATGACTCAGTAAGTACCACTTTGCTGCAAAAGATTTATTTTTAAAAAGGCTTCTTTTGGCAAAAAGCTTTAGTGCTAGAATTTGGAAGTTAGAATTTCGTCCATTAGCAAAGAAATTTCAAAGCTTGGAGGAGACATAATTTGGAGATTTGATTTTGAGCTTTTCAGCTAAGCAGAAAGTGGGTGGGCAGGTTGGTTTCTTATTTTTGTTGTACCTGCTAAGTAACAAGTGAGTGGGAATCTGAAGTTAGAACCAACCAATCTGAAGTTAGATCCAGGAAGGGATTCCATTTATCAAAGGCGGTAGGGAGTGGGGCAAAGACTTTAAAAGAGACTTAAAAAATGTGCAAATATTAGTTTAAAAATAAGGAATGTGGATTAATTCAATAATGTTGCCTTTCCAAGTTGGCATGGTTTCGCAAAGGTCAATGACAAAGAGGGTCCTTGTTAAAGAGGGGGGATTCCTTACCCCAGAGGATATTTGGGTCATCGATTTCTGTTGTGTTATTCCAGTGTGAACACCAGCCTGCAGAAGCATGGTTCTTCCTGGGAATTTCTGCTATATATAAGGTTCTCCAGCCAGCATGCTGCAAGCTTAGGAGCTCGGGACTGCATGCCCATGGACGTTGCCTTCACTGGGACTCCCCCAGTGTGCAAGACAGCATTTGCATGGCAGGAAGAGGGATGAGGCCAGAAGACCTGGAGCCATACAGACCCCTCTGAGGGCTGGTAACTGATGACAACATCTTGGGGTAAGTAGCTGCCCTTTCCCCAAAGAGGACCCTGAGAAAGGAAACATTGTGAGAACCTGGGAAGTGGGAGCTGTACGGGGAGGGACGGAGCACATGGTGAGAGGGGCAAAGCTGAGAAATGTTTTCCTTGGGTGGATGTCATTCAAAACTGCCCACAGACTGGATGCCATCTAACAAGCTGCTGTATGAGCACTGCTGGGGCCTGCATCCTAGTTCTGAATCTTCCTTTTTCCCCTGTCATGTTGTCAGTAAGGGGAGAAACTAACCCTATATTCTTCCCCCATGATACAAGTCACTGTCATTATGGCTTTCATATCAAGGATCTGTTTCCCTTTGTTTCAACTGTTACACCAAATTTGTTTCGAGGTTAGACTCGCAAACATCAAAAGCACCACAAATGCATGTGACATCTAGTGACACTGGATTGAGAAATGCCAATATAAATACCATATATCAAATTACCATTGTTTCACACCAGGATAAAAAGGGGCGGTGGTTGTGGTGGTGATGGGGTGGGAAAGAGTTGTTCTGGAAAGAAATGAAGAAAAGAGCAGAACCAATCTCAAGCAGCCAAGTGGCAAAGTTGAAGGTATGTGACCCTATGATCTGTCAGGCAGGTGGCCAGACCAGCGCCTGCTAATGCATCTTGGCAAAGAAAATGGGAACTGAGTGCGGTGGCTGGCATGGGCAACGGTGCATTGATGTAACAGCAGATTAGGATGACTGGTTTCTGCTCAGCTTGAGGCCACACATGTTCCAATTCTCCAGAGGAAAAGTTCCCATGCACAATGGAGGTGTCAAGAGCTGCCAAGGAGGTCAGTACTCTTCCTGCTGCTGGGGCTGCTGTTCATGGACTTGCTCTTCGGCTTCCGGCTCTTCTGTGTGGCCCTCCTGTGTGTAGGATGGTGGGGGGGACATTTTAGTGGAGATGGCTCATCGTGTTCCCTCTGGGGGTCCCAACCCACATCAGGGCATGGCCTCGGATCTCAAAACTTGAAGGCCACCCATACACCTTGCTGTGCAAATGTCTCCCAGCTCCCAGCAGGTAGTTAAAGTACATGAAAGAATGACTCAGCTTCCTACTGATTATTCTAGAAAGCACAGTTGTTAGGCCTTAAGCTTCAATCCTCCCTTATATTCTGAAAGGAGGTCTTTATTAAACACATAATATATTGTTCCTAACTTCTGTAAAAGAGTGAACCAGAGTGATTTGAGAGTCATGAATGAACATCTTGTGGCTATGTTTCTTGTCCTGCTGCCTTGCTCCTTGCCTGCACTGGCCCCATGGCAGTGAGGTCACTAAGTGGATGGGGCTTGGACATCAGGGGAACAAACGTGTGAGTTGGTGGAGGAGGGGAGGAGAAGTTGAGCCTCACAGGCCACCCTGGGCAAGGAGGCTTCTCCCTGCAAGAAAACTCAGGGACTTGGGCCCAAAGACTCTGAGGTGACTATGTAGGGTGCTTGAGACCCACTCGCTTACTCACTGTACAGCGAGAATGGTCTGTGAACCAGACAGGTGAAGTGTTTCTCCACTTGGCCGAATGTCCAACCCAGAGAAACACAGCATGGTCATCCATCCCTCCCCTGCCAACCAGGGGTGGGGGGGCATTAACTTCTGACAGCCAGGTGTGTAAGTTCCTTCCTGTCCTGACTTCGCAAAGATGGATCAGCTTTTCAACCATACTCCCTTGGTTGGGCTACTAATTCACAGCCACTAACCAGCCCTGTGTTGTGGCACACAGAGGCAGCGCTGCAGTGTGGTACCTGCAGGAATGCCTATGTCTCCTCCCACTTTGACCACTAGTTCCTGTCTCTCCCCAGAGCTCCCTTGTTCTCTGGTCACCATTCCCTGTGCAGCAGAACAAATCCGATGCAAGACGGCCTTTGAATGCAGTGTGATCACCTCCCGGATCCCTGAGCTAGCCTGGGTATGCTCCCTTCTCCACAATATTTGCTCCTGTGCTAGAAAATCCTGTTTTTCTGGAACTTCTTGGCCTCAATTAATCCTCACTGTAAAAAATGAATATATGTGGAATTGAAGGTATCACAGGAGATTCAAAAACAGATGACTTGGTTTCAGACTATCAGCCAAGGTCATACACCACTGCTTTTTTATGATATAGTATAATGTCAAGGTTATAAAGCATGAGCTCTGGAGTTCACATTCCCAGCCCTAGTATATATAAACCTTGTTAGCTGTGGGCTCACAATAGCTCTGCTTCTTGGTTATGTCACCTGTAAAATGGGGGCTAATACCATCCTTGAATGATTTTTTTCAATGCATTTCATGGCTCAATGAACCAATGGATTTGATGCATCCAACAGAGGATGCAAGAAGTAAAGTAGGTGCCTTGGAAGATGCATGAGTGAGCTGTGATTATCATTTCTTATTGGCAGAATTCTTTGAAATATATTCTAGAACTGCAGCTAGCCCTTGAAGTATCCTTTCTGTGACATTCAGCAATGGGAGGTGACACTAGAGGTCTGGGTTCCAGCCTGGCTCAGGCCCCACAGGCGCACTGCACAAGCACAGGAGTGCTCTCTCCAAGCTCACCGCCACACTATTCAACCACCCAAGCCGCTCCAGCCAGCATGCTATTCTCTCCTAACATACCTACTGTTTTTCTGTCCCTTGCACTCAGTTGTCCTTTCATTGCAAAGGCTCTCTGAATCAATGAGATCCTCTGCTCCTCTCTTCCCATTTGGTTGCCTCCCCAGCCACTGCTGCAACTGTACCTCTTGGCAGTACCCTCTGCATCCTGCCTTGCACAAGTAGGGTGGTCTTCTCAGCTCAGAAAGCTAGTGCCTCAACTGCCCTGCACTTGCTGACACAGTGCAAGCAAGGAAACCATGCATATAACTTATCTCCTGTGAGGTAAAATCTCCCCTCTTGTCAGGGGAAAAGGTGGAGGGAGGATTAATGCTTGTGGGAGCTCAACAGGACAGTCGACTGGCAACGTGGGCCATCTGTTCTGCCGTATGCTCTGCTAAACTTATGAAAATGGGGGCATGCATTTGGCATAGCAGTTTACACACTGCTTGAAATGCCAGCATCCCATATTGGAGAGCCTAGATTCAATTTACGGCTGTTCCCGGTTCCAGCTTCTTGCTGATGCGCACCCTGGGAGGCTGCAGGTGACGGCTCAAGTACTTGGGTCCCTGCCACGCATGTGAGAGACCCGAATAGAGCTGCAACCTCATTCAGCTCCGGCTGTTGTACCATTTGGGGAAGTACACCAGCAGATGGAAGGGGACTCTGTCTTTTGTCTAACAAATTAAGAAAACACTAGTCTTCCTTGAAGCACCACTCACTGCCTTCACCCCCAAATTATGCTCTTTTCTCTAACTTCTAACCTCTGCACCCCTGCTTCTGTTGGCAGGAGCACTATAGACAACAGGCTACAGGCTCTGAGCCCCAGGGGATGAGGGATATATATATATATATATATATTTTTTTTTTTTTTTCTCATCCCAGCTTTTCATTGCTAATGTGGTGTCTTCTCCAGTGTATCTAACTGGAGCTAAACTGGAATCTGCTTTTCTCACAGAATTTTCTTGGTTGTGTGTGAGGCTACCAAAGATCTTAGAAATGGGCATCTGGTTTACATTTTACAGAAAATCTTGTTTGCATACGTCACAATTGGGAGTTAACTGTAGGATAATGGAGTTACCCCAGAGCTACGAGTTGACAGACCTGGATTCAAATAACTGCCAAGGCTGTAACAAGCTGCAGAACCAGGAACCCGTCAGATGAGGCCCCTGCTCGGGGCTCCTTTCCAAGCACAGAGAACAAGGGGGTGGGGCTGTTCCTTTGACCATGGCTTTGTGGTCTCCAGCAGGCTGAGAGCAGTTCCCCACACACACCAGGCTGAAGTCCCAGTGCCAAGACCCTGCCAGTGCTGTCCATTTCTGTAGGAACTGCATATCCAAGTCCCTGTCTTACTAGGTAATTAATTGGGTAATCCTGGCCAAAAACAAACCTCCCAGGTTATCCAGGGGCGGCTAATGCTTGGGGGCCAGTGAGGGCAGAGGAAATCTGGCAGAATATACCTGCGAGTTTGAGGTGGTGTTAACACACCTGTCACAGCTGAGAGTACCCAGCCTACCTCATGCTAGCACAGGCTCAGGAGGAGGGAACAGGGAGAAAGACAGAATGCCCTTGTGAAAATGAAGTGTTTATAGCCACATAGAAGCAGGATACCAGGCACGACTATGGCAAATACAGGACTGGTAGACTGGGGAGCCGTTCCCCTTCACTTGGGATGTGTGCATATCAACCATCACATTTTTCTAAATGTTTAACTAAGAGTAGTGTGTTCTAAGCTTTTGCCCTGGCTGTAATTATTACAGAAGCTGGAAGACAGGAAGACACCTGGCCACGGTGGGGGCACATTAGGGTCCAGGGAAGGAGATGAGTCCTCCTGGGGCTCCTGTGGTTTCCTGGACACGGGAGGTGGTGTGACTACTTCCCTGACCCCTAGCCCTGGGTATTCCCTCCTTTCTGACTTGCTCATGCTATTTCCTCTGTCTGTACCCCCACTTTCCCTATCTCTGGTCTGTACCCATTTAAATTCACAGCCCTCCTTCCACATTCGATAAATCTTGGCTGTGAACTGCCAGGCGCTTCCCGCACAAGTGTATTTATGCCTCTATGCTCCCCTTTATAATCTGACACGCACTCCCAACACTCGTGTTCCCGTCTCTCTCCCCTCCCTGGGGCTGTGAGCTCTTCTGAGATGCAGTGGTTGAGCCTTTTTTTTTTTTTCCAATTTACCCAGAGCTCAGTCCAGTGACAGAAACAACCTATCTCCAAAATGCCCCAGAGGAGCAAGGACATTTTAACCGAGGCTCCGGGGACGGTCAGTACCTGTGCTTCAGTTGGTGCGCCTCAGCCGAGAGAATCCACAAGGGAGCAGGCAGCCAATGCCCAAGCCCAGACAGCTGTGGCCCTGAGTTAAGTACTAGAGGAAAAGATAACAAGGATGAAAAAGAGAGGTGCTCGACACTTGGCTGACAGCCTGCCCTGGAAACTGTCGCCTCTGCTGACTGCTCTGCATTTCTACATCTCGCACCCACTATATTGCAGGGTTGCCTGACTCTAACAATCAGAGGCCTGTTGTCACACGATGGGGGGGGAACGTCATCTGATCTCTGCCATTCCAACCCGTGCTGACTGATGCTTAACTGAAGAGCACCCAAGACACCCCAGTCCTATTGGAGCTATACTCTCATCTCCAAACAGAAGCAGACACCCAGCCATGCCTGCTGGCTTAGGTTTGCGTGCATGGTCACTGTGAAAGCACCATGACCCAAGGTTAGCGTGGATGTGGTGGCAGCGTCCATGCCTATCTAACGTACAGGTGCCACCCATCATGGGAAATGGCCTAAAAATAAGAGACAGGGTCAAGGCTAAGCACCACGGGGCAAAAGGCAGAGTGTGTGTGTACGGGATGGGGTGGGGTGGTAGACAGTACTACTAGCACAGTGGCATCACAGCCATTGAGCACATTTCTCCCAAATGTGATGTAGGGGAGAGGGGTGGTGGTGAGGCTTCTGTGATACTCACTCCCCCTAGGTTGCCACAGAAATGGGATTCAATATCTTTGGGGAGAAAAGCACATGACTGAAGGCTTCAAGGTATTGGAGTGATTCCTTGAGCTTCTAGAAGCAGAAGCAGGAAGGAGAGGAGCCGAGCTGCTGCCTGAACTCTCCATGTCCACCTCTATATTCTACCTATAGTGTGCATATGTGTGGTGTACTGCAGCACACAGCGTGGTGCCCAGGCCTGCGGCCATTTTGTCTTTCTTTCTGTACAGAAACCAAACAAAATAGGTCTTTCACACTGTAAACAAGGACACCCAGAATATCTTAGGACCAAATGCCCCGATACATAATGTTTGGAACTTTCCAGACACAAATTTGCACTACACTGTCTCCTAGCATTGGAAAATTGAGCCAGCAACTACACTGAGGATTTTTGCTCTGGTAGCCCACACACAGAGTTTAAGTCTGTTCTCTTACACTTTCCAACAGCCTGGTTACTCTCGAAGTAATTCTCTTTTTGGATTCCGGATACATTTAAAATCCTTACCATACAGTGACATGGTAATGACAAGCTCGCTCTCCTCCCTAATTATGTTTTCTACTATTTGATAATAGTAGCACAGTGTCCAAGATGACAAAACAAGGTGTAGGAAAGTTACCACCTAGCCAGAAAAAAATTCTTTATGGAGTCAGAGTTAAACAGATGGAGGCCCAGAAGAAGAGGCCAAGACAAGACCCGATGCTGTCAATGAGCCACATGAGATGAGGAAATCCAGGCAGGGAAGGGGTTTGACCACCGTTCTCACACACACAGGCCTGTTTGGCAGAAGTAGGCAGTCTGGGCTAGAGGTTTTGGCAGGTAAGGGCAACACTTATTTCCTCCCTGCCCATGGTACCCACTATGCTGAGAGGCTGGTCATGTGGCCCTCAGGCTCACTGGAACCTATTAATTGTGAGTCACCGGGCAAGTAATTTCATCTGTACATGGTCAACAAGTAACACTACTCATTGCATAAGATGCAGTCAGGGGGAGAAATGCTTATAGACTATGAATCTGGTGTCTAATACACACCAGACACTCAATGTCACTGTTAACTATTATTCCATTCAAAAGGTGCTCTGGCTTGGAGAAAAGGCCATGAACTCATGAGTCAGACTAGTTGCTCACGATCTTAGAAAAGGCATTTAACCCCTCCTATCTTAGCTTCCTTCAATTTTAAAATGGAATAATAATCACTAATAGTATTTGAGATAAAGAGGCTAATAAGTTAATATACAAAAAGTCTTATACTGCATTGTAGGCACTTGGGGCAACGAACATGTTTGATCTATTACTCAGTTTTGCTGTTCCCTGGGGTGTGTGCAGGACCAGTTTTCTGCATGCAGAGAAGCAGGCTGGCTTCCTCAGCCCTCCTGCCTGTCCTTAGCCAGGGCAGTTCTCTCCATGAGGTTCACCTGACATGCTCTTACAGGGTATGCTCTCCACGCAGGATCTGAACCCAAGGACTTCCCTACCCCTGGAAGCCCAGGCCTGGGAAGAAGTGTTGACCCTGCATGCTGGGCTTTCTCACAGACAGCAGCACCATCCACCTTGCTGCTGTACATACCATGTTCAATTGCCCTAATCAAGCTTTTGAACAAATAATCATCTCTCAGCAAGTTGGGACCCAGCATCCTGCACCAATACAAGGTTAAGCTCTGTCACCCACAAGGTCACAGTCACACCACCAATCAGCTATCATTTCCCCGAAAATATCCAGAAACCAAAACCACAACCATGAACTGAAACCGTCATCCTGCCTAGGACCTAACCACAGATTTCTGGAACTTCAAAATCTACATTCTGACCTATGGATCATCCTGAAAGAAATTCAGAAGAAATCAAGACAAATTAAAGACAGTCATGGGCTAATCTTCCATGCCCCAGACACAGTCCCTCACATTTGAGGAACATGTCACTGCTAGGATTTGAAGTCACACACAGAGTAATCAATGGCCTGGCCTTCAGCAGGAGGAAGGTGAAGAAAGCTTGCTGGTGGCCTGCGAAGTCCCATGGAAATAACACGTGCACATGACCTCACCACGGTGTCCTCTGAGCACCTGCTGGCCTTCCAGTCAAAGAAACTGTCCTGACGGTGCTCTCCAGCTCCAGTCCAGGCCAAGAGGGCTCCAAACCCCAACCTCTGCTGTCCAGAGCAAAGCTCTGCTGGGCTCTGGCTCCCTGCTGTCACAGGTGGGTCTATGGTGGCCTGTTCCTGCCATTTGTCCACCCTACCCCCTCGCTGCTTTCACTGTTCCTTCCTGCTCCTCACACCTGCCTCTTATCACCCAATAGTGTCACCTTCGGGGACTGCCCCCTCAGTACATTCACAGGTAAGCAGCAGCCCCTGTGGCAGGTGCTCCCCTCTAGAACAGGGCACCGAGCAGTCTTTCCAGCCAAGGTCTTTCCCACAGGCCTGGTCTGTCCTGACCACAAGAAACCAAGCTGACCAGCTACCCGACACAAACAGCTGTGTGGCTTATGGGGCTGGCCAAAGCATCTTGGTTGTATTCTCCTTTAACCACACTGTGATCTCATAAAGGAAAAAGGATTCTCAGAGCAATTCTTCTTGCTCATCTGCTGAGATGTTGAAAGCCACTTGAGCTCCAGCTGTGTGTTTCTCTCAAGTCTCTCTGCTCCTTTCCAACCATCTCTTCCCAGACTAACTCATGAATGCATGTTCCAATTCCATGGGCCTAGTCATTATGATAATGGTGTGTATTCCTTTGGAAATATCATATGTGTTAACTGAGCTGCAATTTTCATTAGGTCACAGTAAAGACATTCTAAGGCATGCAAGCAGGTCTACTGCTCTTTGGTCAGGGAGGCCACTTCTGAACTTGGGAGAGGAGGACCCAGCTCACTCACGTGTTCTTCTGAAGCATACAGCACGTCCATTAGTCGCTGCACGAGGTCATCATTTTCTTGCCCATGCTCCTGGCAGAGAAGCTCAATCTCTCTCAACTTTCCAAAGTAGAAATCCCGTTCCTTTTCCACACCTTCAAGAGCAAGTTTTAATGAATGTACCTGTAAGAGAATGAGGGAGGGGAAACGAAGCCACAAAGTAGAGTGTAAGAAATAAGGAAGCAACTCTGCATGTGTGTCAAGACCCAAAACAAGGGAAGAGACATGACAAATAACCAAGTCTGAAGGAGAAGGGACAGGTCTGAAGGCCTGTGGTCTTGAGCCTGAACTTGGGCCAAGATGTCCAATCTCAGTGGCACGCTGGTCCCTCCCTCCAATCCACCATTCACTGACAAGGGTCGAACAATTCCTCTCACTTGCACAATTCTGCCCACACTTGGAGCAGGCTTCCTTCCCCACTAATATGGTTGTAGCACACCTTCTGATCTGTTGCTCTGATGTGCCCAAATCTATGTGTTGAAGTCCCAACCCACTGATATGGTGGCATGAGAAGGTGTACCTCTTGGATGTTACCAGGTCACCAGTGTGAGCAAGCATGGATGGACTGAAAGAGGCCCCCATGAGCTTGCTCACCCTTCCACAGGGGCAGACATGGTGGGAAGGTGCCATCTACCAGGCTGGGGGCCTCCAAGACACCAAATCTACTGGTACTGCAATCTCGGATGCCCCTGTGCTTTGCTTACAAGGTGCCCAGGTCACAGTATTTAGTTACAGTGGCCCAAACAGATTAGATCAATTAGCACTGGCAGGGAAGGGATACAGCCATTAGGAGGAAGGCCAAGGGGTTGAGTGTTTTAAGTGTTGACATGTAGATGTTTCTCAGCACCCTTCTTTCTTCAGATCAGCTGTATTAAGAGCCACTTTTAGGCTATCACAAAGCACCCTGAGCCTAACAAGACTAGTATTCACTGAGAAATAGGGTCTTGGCACCCTTGGGTGGGTGAGACTGGAGTCCTGGCTGAATGTGGGTCAGTCTTGACGTCTCTGGTTCATTGTGAATCATGGATACAGCAGGAAGGTATTAACATTCCATTCTCCCAGCAAAATAGCCTTGTCCCCTGGCTTAGGCTGTAAGGATCTCCCAAGGCTGTGCAGCTTGTCCTGGAGTTGGCAGGGAACGAGTCCACGGCTGAAGTGGGGCCCAACAATACAGGCACGTGGAGCTGAGCTGTGACAAGCACAGCTTGGATGTGTCAGGGCTCAGGCTGCTAACCTGTGACACATGGGGTAGCTCATGTTGTCGGCTCCAGAGTTTTGTAACCCTCCACTCATTTACATTTGTGCAGAGGGCTTTTTTTTTCTTCCTCTTTTAAAAATTTATTTGAAATGCAGAGTGACACACTGAGACTGTCCATATGCTGGTTCAACTCCCCCAGCTGGCCAGGGCTGGGCCAAGAGGAAGCCAGGAGCCTGAAACTCCAACCTAGTCTCCCATGCAGGTGGCAGGGACATAAGTACTTCTGTCATCATCTACTACCTTTCTGGGAGGATTAGCAGGGAGCTGAACCAGAGGCGGAGCAGCCAAAGGGGCTGGTGCTGTGGGGTGGTGGGTGAAGCTGCCACCTGTGACATCTGCATTCCAGGTGGGCACCAGTTTGAGACTGAGTTGCTCCACTTCTGATCCAGCACTCCCCTGCTAATGTGCTTGGGAAAGCAGTGGAAGACAACTCAAGTGCTTGGGCCCCTGAACCCACATGGGAGATCTGAAAGAAGCTACCTGGCTTCAGCCTGGCCCAGCTCTAGCCACTGCAGCCATCTGAGGAGTGAGCCAGATCTTTGTTCTCTCTCTGCCTTTCAAATATGTAAATAAGTAAATAAATCGTTCTTTTCCCTTTTTTTAAAGTGGGGCAGCCAGGACTTAACCTGAAGTGGGATCTGGTGTTGAAAGCCGGAGCATAGCTGTGCCACAGCACTGGCCCAGAGACAATATTCTATAGGAGGTACAACCAAGTCTTTCATGGGCCTCCTGTGGGAAATATACTGCAGTACAGTAAACATCACCCATCACAGAATGACATGATATTTCAAAATTACATTAAGAATGCAAAATGTTCTTTTAAGAAATAATTCTGGACCTCCATATGTGCTATTTGTCAGACTGGAAATACTGATTCACGCCAACATCTACGAGGCACTCAAGCAGGGCCCATTTACTTCTTATGGACCTGGTAAAGATGTGTCTGCCTGAAAGACGCAGGAAAGTGGTCCTTCAGTGGCACTCTCGCTGATGTCCCCATCCAGCTGCTCACACAACCGCCGGGGCCAGCTTCCAATGCTAGGTTCTGTTTACGCCCCAGCTGGGGTGTGTCTAAAAACTGAAGCCACTAAACCTTTATTCCAAAAAGTAAGATGACTTCCCTCATTTAAAAATTCTTTTTGGCTTTAAACAAAGCAACTTTCTCGGGGCATTTGGACTGGCACCCGAGCCACCAGGGGTGTCAGCTTCTTGGTTCCAGGTGAGGACACATGCAAGCCAGGAAAACTTGATTTGCCTGCCTCCTTCAAGTGTTGTGGTCTGATTGATGGCCAACTACCAACGCTTCCGTGCAAACCCCAAGCCTGAGTGGGCTGCTCCGGGTGCACGAGGTGCTGAACTGTAAACAGGACCCTGTACAAACCACAAGCAGCTAACCTGGCTGGGAAAAGGTCAACTGGCAAATTCCATTTCCCTAGTCTCACTAAGACCAAAGCCAGCCTCCTCCTCATGTGCCTTGACCACAGTGACAGCTGACGTTGCAGATTGGCCCTCGAGGAAAGGCAAGGGTGAAGCTCTTGCCTGTCATCTCAGCCCCTGCCTGTGTGTTCACAGTGTGCAGGTCCTTGCAGTCTTGGCACTCAGAACCACAGCCACCTCTGTCAGCTCTAACCAATGTCCCTGGTCCCCAAGCCCCCCTCCTCCACAGTCCTGGAGCATACAGTGACTCTTGCCTGCTTCCTGTTTGCTACCTCACATCCAGAAACAGTGTCCGATTATTTTACTAACGTCCCTGTCTCCTCCACATTTTTCAATTCATTTCTAGCACTGCAATTGTCTAGCACAGTGGGACTTTCATAGTCTATCATGGGAGATTGCCTGAACAAAGGCATAGGGCCAAGTAAATGAAAATTCTGAAGGTTTATGGCACTTGTCACTTTCTCTATTACCACTGTAATTCACGCTTCAGCTCAGGCATTTCCACACAGCCCCCCTTGTCCCACCATCCTCAGTTTCAGCACTGTGCTGCCTGGGTGGCCATCATCAGCCCTGGGGGCAGGCACTTCTGCAGGCTCCAAGAGCAGAAAACAGGGAAAGTAAGACCAGATGGGCAGGGAAACGGGCCTGGCCTAAGTGCTTGGAAAATGTTCGTTTGATGAAGGGCTTAAAATTTAGGATTTGTCCAACCTTCTCCATAAAGACAGCCACTACCATGGGGCCTCACAGTGTAGGCACTGGGAGTATGCTAACTGGAAAGGCAGGCCAGTGGACGGGCTGTGTCTTTCTATGTCCCTTCTAGAGCGGCATGTTGCATGGGAGGACGGGTCAAACGAGGCATTTTGGAGGTCAGAATATGGGCTAATGAGAACACTAATGGGAGCCTAGCACCAGCCTTCAGGAGAGGAAGTGCGCTGGCTAGTGAGGGCTGCAAGGGGCAGGGGTGGGAAGGTCCTCAGGTTCCCATGGGGACCAATTGGGCAGGAAAGGTAAGAACCTGAGTGTGGTGGAGGAAGGAGAGGCATTGCGACTGGGCTTGAGATACTGACAATTTCAAAAGAATTTTGATTTTTTTTAGAAGACAGTTATAAATCCAAAATATTATAGACCCATGGCCCGCTTCTTTGTATACTCAGACTCATCTGGAGCCTTGGTCCTGCATGCTCGCGCCATCCTTACTGCCTCATAGCTGAGAAGTCTGTCCTGCAGACTCCGTGGGCTCAGGCTGAGAACACAGTTTCTGAGTCAAAGCCCAACCCACCAAGTGACTAAGAGTTGCACCTTTTTCATCTAAGGGGCCAGCTTTGGAAAGAAACACCCTCATGAAGCAACTGCCTGCTTTCTTCACTAGATTTGTGATTGCAAATATGCAATTATCTCAGAAACTGTTCCCAGACTTGCTGGTTCACGAAGAATGAGATTAATCACTGGGGCTGCCCCGGGGTGGTGCTGTGGCTGGGAATGGCCAGGTGCTGAAGGGGATGGGGCTGGAGCAAGGCTGAGACCACAGTGGAGGGGCAGCCAACGTGAGCAATTCTGCTGCACTTGTGGGGGTAGGGTGGCTTCCATGGTGGACCCTTTAATCCCTACTGTCTTACTACTTTTAAACAGGGATCACCTTTGGCAAAAATCAGGTAGCCTTGACTAGAAGCAACCTGGGGTGGGTGCTGGTATAACAGGTAAAGTCAGGCATCCTATGTGGGCACCAGTTTGAGTTCTGGCTACTCCATTTTTGATCCAGCTTCCTGTTAATATGCCTGGGGAAAGCAGCAGAAAATGACCCAAGTGCCTGGGTCCCCATACCTACATGGTTGGTGTGGCCCAGCAAAGGCCACTGCGACCACTGGGATGAAAGAGCAGATGGAAGTATGCACTCTCTCTGATTCTTTCTTTCTTTCTTTCTTTCTTTCTTTCTTTCTTTCTTTCTTTCTTTCTTTCTTTCTTTCTTTCTTTCTTTCTTTCTTTCTTTCTTTCTCTTTCTTTTCTCTCTCTCTTTCTTTCTTTTTTTTTTTTTTTAAGATTTACTTATTTTTATTGCAAAGTCAGAGATACAGAGAGGAAGATCTTCTGCCCGATGCTTCACTCTCCAAGTGACTGCAATGGCTGGAGTTAAGCCAATCTGAAGCCAGGAGTCAGGAACTTCCTCCAGGTCTCCCAAGACTTTGGGCCATCCTCGACTGGTTTCCCAGGCCACAAGCAGGGAGCTGGATGGGAAACGGAGCCACCGGCACTGGAACTGGCGCCCATATGGGATCCTGGCATGTTCAAGGTGAGGACTTTTTAGCCACTAGGCCATCACGCCGAGCCCTCTCAGATTCTTTTAACACACACACACACACACACACACACACACACACACACAAAATTTCAAAAGTAACCTAGGATTTTATATTGGGAATTTCAGACAGTGCAGCTAGTTTTACTATGATCATAAGGAATATTAGCCAGAATGGAAGGTAGTTCTGTCTATAACACAGTCTTTTAGGTGCCTTCACTGCAGTACTGCGTGAAGGGCTCCTGTGGCATTTGACTGCTGTCAACATGGGCAGTGGTTGAAGTTTTTGCTGTCTGTAGCTCTTTGAGGGCCAAGAGGGATCTATCCTGCCCCCATTCTGCTGCTCACAGGAAGCAGGGGGCCTGTCACACAACAGGTGCTGCGAACAATAGCTCAGAGGCTGGGAGAAGGCAACAGCCTAATCCTCTAACAGCCTTCAAACCCCATCCAGCCTGGCCAGCAGCAGGCTCAGAGGTCTGGCCTGGAGATAGCAACGGCCACTGAGAAATGGAGGAGCAGATGCGCAGGCTTGGAGCAAGGGAAAGCCAGGTATTGCTTCACAGTGTACAGCCCCAAGATCCGCGGGTGACATCTGTCATCATTTACGGGCTACTGACGGACTCTTGTGAAGTCATGCCAACTACTCTTTCAGGCTGGGCACCACTGATTACACTGTCCCTCCCTCATCGCAGGGGCTTTGCCCTAGCCCCTTAGTCACATCATTGCTGCCAGAGGGACAAGGAGTTAGTTACCTGTTCATTAAGCTGTATGACCTGGGTTTCTAAGTCTTTATCAGATTTGGATGCTGAGCCGCTGGATGAAGCCCTTTTGGCAGAAGAGGGACGAGAAGGTGTGGATCCTGGTTTAGATGCTGGATTTGATTTAGCCGCCCCTGAAAGCAACAACAAGAAAAACTGATAAATATTAGCAACCCTAGAAATGCTTTTTAGAGAGAAAGCCAAGGAATGGCACAAAGGGAGTTTACTGGAACGTCCAAGGGCTATTTGTTGTGACACCTTCCATTCTGGGAGCAGCACAGGTGTGCCTGGCAGTGGTGCCACCTGGATGGCTTAGGCACCCTTTGTGAGCACAGCTCTTTCCTCAAGGATCATGAGCTTCTCGCAACTGGCCCCTGACCTCCACAGACGAGACTAGCAGATTCTGCGGGATCTTGAGCTCTTTTAGAAAGATTTTTCGATAGAGCCCATTACTCTGAATTTCTAATAACCCACAGAAGACTGGATAACTGATTAATACTTTAGAAGACACAGTCATACACATTGACTTTTTTTCTCCCTCTTTGAATGTATTTTCTAGCTTCAGCAGTGAACAGCCCAGGGCCAAGGTCATTTCCATGGCAGTCAGCACTCCTGGTGCTCCGATCTTGGTTTCCCAAGGTTATTCTCAAGGGTTTCTTGAGAAAAGGCTGATTCCAGGGGCAGGGCAGGAATGTACAAGGTACCACCTATTATCATGAAGCCAAAATGTGTTCCAGGATTACATGTCAAAAGGACACAGGGACCAGCTTGAAGAGGCTCCCAACTAAGCCACACTTGGGACAAATCTAATCAGGAAAAATAATGACTCTAATGTGATGCATTAGATAGATAAAAAGCCATCTCTTGTGGTGAGAGAAAGTGTGTGTAAGTGTGTGTGTGTGTGTGTGTGTGAGAGAGAGAGAGAGAGAGAGAGAGAGAGAGAGAGAGAGAGAGGAAGGGAAAGGGAGTGTGTGCTTGCATGCATGAGAAGGGTATTGTGGGGAGCAAAATCTTTACAGGACACTGACAGTTTATGAATGCAGAAGAAATACTACAACTGGTGAACTACTGCAACATTCATTCATGCTCCTGGCTTCTGCCTGGCCTGCCTTGGCTTTTGTGGGCAACTCAGGGAGAGAAATAATAGATCTTTTTCTCTTCCCAGATGCCCTGTCTCTGCCTCTCTCTGTGACTCTCTTTCGAATGAATTAACAACAACAACAACAAAAAAGTAAGGACCCATAACTAGTAGCCAATTTGGAAAAGGCTCCAGGACACCAAAACTTGAGATGAAAGGTTTGTGTGGGAAGGCAGTCACATGTGCTGAAGTGTTACAAGCTAATTATTACAAAGGGGGGAATGTACCTTTCACAGGGCCCTCTAGGGCCAGCAGCTTAACTAAGGGGTCTACTTACCACCACTGATAATAACAAACAATTTTAAACAGAACCCTGGTCTCAGAGAAAACCAGAGTGATCAGGGTTCTGAACTCTTTCTGAAAGAGTTCAGCTCACAGCAGACTCACCATAGATACAGGAATGGCCTCTGCCATCCAAATATAACCTCAAGTTTATGGACTTCATACATAGCTTGAGAAAGCATGGGGCATTGTGATGGCCCACATGCTCCTTTATTCTCTGAACACAGTGCCACTCAACCAGGGGGCAGCCCTGCATGCACCCCTTGGCCCAAATCCCTAGTACAACCATCAATCTTCTACCCTTCTAGAAAAATCTTGGAGGGCAGGATTCCTCTCTGTCACCCCACTGTATAACTGAACATACTTCTGGTGAAAGAAAAGACGTTCAAACAAATATGTGAATAAGCACATTCAACCCATGTATGTGGTTTCCAATTTCACAGTTCATTTCCAACTTTACAGTGCACTGGTACCAACAGGGTAGAAAAAGCAAGGTGACAGCAGCTGCAAGTTGCAACTAATATCCTAATTATAAAGTAGCACCCAGGATGACTATAAAATTTATGCCTATATGACTTCAAGTGCCGGCAGTTATAACTTTCAAAGGCAAGCCAGGCATACACCCCAAAGGGCACTGACAGGGCCACAACCTTTAAAAAGCACACCTCTCCCTGGCACGGCAGCCTAGTGGCTAAAGTCCTCGCCTTGCACGTGCCGGGATCCCATATGGACAATGGTTTGTGTCCTGGCAGCCTCGGTTTCTATCTAGCTCCCTGCTTGTGGCTTGGGAAAACAGTCAAGAACAGCCCAAAGCCTTGGTGCCCTGCACCCATGTGGGAGACCTGGAAGAGGCTCTGGGCTCCTGGTTTCAGATCCGTGCAGCTCTGGCCATTGCAGCCACTTGGGGAGCTAGTCCATGGACGGAAGATCTTCCTCTCTGTCCTCCTCTCTGTATATCTGATTTTCCAATAAAAATAAATAAATCCTAAAAAAAAGCACACCTCTTTATCCTCAAGGAGGAGATAAACACAAAGGATCTACTTAAAAAACACAGGGTGTGTGCAGTAGTTAGGATGCTATCTGCAACACCTGCACCTCGTGTCAGAGTTCAGTGCCAGCACTGCTTTTGAGTCCAAACTCTTGCTAATATACACCCTAGGAGGTAGTGGCCTAGCTAGCTATTTGGGGATCTTCAACCCATATGGGAGACTTGGATGTGTTGCTGCTTCCAGACTTTAGCCTGGCCCAGTTCCAGCTGTTAACAGCGATTGGGGAGTGAACCTCTGCCTATCTAATGTCCTTAAATCTGTACCCAGACACCCTTTAAAATCAGAAACTAGAAATACCTCATATGTTACAATGGAGGTGATTAACCTAGAAATGCCTCAAGTTGTCTGAGTAGTCACAGGTTAAGTCTGAAAGGACCAGAGGACAGCACCATGGCAGAAGGCTCCTGAGGATTCTAGACTCTGTTTGGCTTGACTTTGTCACTGTGATGGAGCTGCTAGGATCCCTCACCTCTGAAAGCCCATCAGGACACTCCGGGAACACGGCTTCCCAGTGCCACTGCCCAGGTTCTTGAACCAAAGATCAAATTAGCTAGGCCAAGAATCAATGTGGAGGAACAGGCAGGGGAGGCTGACTGGGATGCCCCACTGGGCAGGAGGCAGCCACCAGCCCAGCACAGGGACTAGCACTGCGCTGTAGCAGGTAGAGCTGCTGCACCCCATATGACTGTTGGTTCAAGTCCTGGCTGCTCCACTTCCAACCCAGCTCCAAGCTAATGGCCTGGGAAAGCAACAGAGGATGGTCTAAGTGCTTGGGCCCTGGCACTCATGTGGGAGACCTGGAAGAAGCTCTTGACTCCTGGCATTGGATCAGCCTAGCTCTAGCTCTAGCTGTTGCAGCCATTTGGGGAGTGAACTCCCAGATGGAAGACTTATATGGAAGATGTATATATACACATATATAAAAAAGCATATTTAGAAGGAGATATATATTTATATATAATATACTATATTTATGTATTATATATATATAGTATATGATATATGTAAAATATAGAATAAACAAGTTCCTTCTGATCTTACAAGCAAGACTTCACATCTTAATACAGACAACATCCAACAGAAAGTAAGGCAGAGGTCATCCAGGCTCAACGGCCTTGACTTAGTATTTTATTCAGGCTTGCCACAGGGTATGTAGTGAAGGTCCCAAATGACACAGCTGTGGTCTCTGCCCTCTAGTGGCCCAGTCACCTAGGAAGTCTCTGCAACATTCTCAGCTAGTCTCTTGTGGTCACTGATCCGAGCAGGGCTGTCACCCCTGCGGCTTCTCATTGGAGTGGCTCCGTGGAGTAGCCTGCCAGTCTTGGTGCAGACAGCATCACAGACATTTTGCTCAGAGCAAATGTCATGGCACATTTCTCTAAGGGCTCCCATTGGACAACAGGACACACCTCTGTTTTGTTTACCACTTATGCCCTCATAGCCAATCCCAGGGCATGATCCTGAGACACTCAACTACAGTTTTTATAATTCATGAAACAACTCCCCACAGAGGCACTGCTCTAGGTTTGATACCGGCAAAACCTGGAAGAGCTGTGCCTATGTCACAGTCACAGACAGCAAGAGCCAACAGTGCAGGAAGGAAATGAGGCAAAAGCTGTCAGCCATCCAGAGAGAGAGAGAGAGAGAGAGAGAGAGAGAGAGAGAGATATTTTCCTTGACTTCCTTCAAGAAAGGAAGGCTCCCTGCCTCCAGCCGATCTACACAGTTGAGACCACGGGCTGAGTGGGTAAACCCAGCCAGCTGGACTGAGTGGGTTGTGGCAAAGTGGTTTGTGCCAGACTGTCCAAGTTCTCTGTGTCTGCTGGCCCCTCCTGTGTCAGGCCCTGTGGACAGCAGGCAGCCCCCTGCTCATTCCAGACAGACCTCTCTATGTAGGTCAGCAACGGTGACATGGCTGCTTGTAGTCACCAAGTGTGGCTCATCAGACAAGCTTGTGTTCTTACACACTGCCTTGTCCTGGCAGCTGATGGCTGCCACTAATGTCTCCAAGATATCATCAAATGAGTAAAAAAAAAAAAAAAGCCATGCAGCTGTTTGATTAGAAGGAGGACAAGGTCATGGGGTCAGGGAAGAGTGGCAAGGAAGCTGGCGGGAAGGGAGATGTCATGCAGGGACAGAAGAGAGGGTGGAGATGGCCGACTTTCCACGCCTAATGGTGGATGGGCAAGGGCTGCTGTGGTACCAAGGCTGTCCTGGTTCCTGCCCAGGGACACTGCTGCTATGGACAGAGCCTGACTTCAGTTCACCTGTGCAGCTGCCTCTCCAAACTGCGGTTCCTTCTGCTGGCACCTTGTGGCTCGTGGAACCTAGCTGTGGAGCTGCGGTCTCTCATGCCAGCCCTACAGGCATGTAGCTACAGATCTTCTGCTGAGAAAAAGGAGGGTGAGGAAAGTCAGGCTGCTCTTGAGGAGTGAGTGGGTATGGGAGGGGCAGGGGCTGGGTACCTCTTCCACTGATACCACACCAAGGAGGGAAGAACAGTGCAGTGTACAGCCCAGCTGGCTGAGTCACTACCTAGGGCTACGGCGCAGGCTGCACAAAGGAGGGAACACAACAGAAACCAGACAGAAAACTTAAGAGTAGGTCCTCAAGTGATTCACATGTGACATTTAACAGAGCATTTTTGAAATTCTGATTATACTGC